TTAAGGGGTCCTGACGAGCGTTTGTACTGCGTCTACAAAATTTTAAAGGCTTTAGAGCCTTGCGGTTTGAGCAAGCGAATACATTTTTTGAGGAATATTTTTAGGGTATAAATATTTAGGAACTTTAAAGATTATGCGAAAAAATTCAAGATGACATAATTCAAAATAAAAGAAAGCACCTATGTTCATAGCTATAGTCCAAATTCTCGAGTTTTTTTTAAGCAAAATAATTGCNTTAAGGGGTCCTGACGAGCGTTTGTACTGCGTCTACAAAATTTTAAAGGGTTTAGAGCCTTGCGGTTTGAGCAAGCGAATAAATTTTTTGAGGAATATTTTTAGGGTATAAATATTTAGGAACTTTAAAGATTATGCGAAAAAAATTCAAGATGACATAATTCAAAATAAAAGAAAGCACCTATGTTCATAGCTATAGTCCAAATTCTTGAGTTTTTTTTAAGCAAAATAATTGCCGTAAAAATAATGAATTAAGAAAAAAATCATCAACTAGTGATTTTTAGAAAAAGTTCGCTACGTGTGCTGCTACGTCGACTAACTGCGCTTTAAGAAGAATCTTTTAAGGATGCATTTTGTGATCAAAAGTTTTAGGGCAATGGTTCTTAAGAAGTGTATGATGAGGAAAAGAATTTCTGGAAAAAGTTTAGGAAGTAAATTTTTTTAATATACATATAAGAAAATGGTTAAAGAAAAAGTTCGTTCTAGGAAAAAAAACTTAAACGAAAAAAGTGTTTAGGAACAATTAAAAAATAAGTAGGAAAAAAGTTCTGAACAAAAATATGTAAGGAAAATGGTTTCAAAAAAAAGTTTTTTACGAAAACTTTGTTCTGTCAAGCTTCCTTAAGTTACTTAAGTATATTTTCTGAGCACTTGAAATATTTGAGGAAAATTTTTAATTATAAAAAAGTAGTATAAGTATGAATAAGCAAAATTTGGAATATTTTTTTTTAATTTGTCAATATTAAGTAAAAATTTTTTTCTTTAACTTTTTGGTAAACATAAAATTTTTTAAGAACACTGATACTTTTTTATGTTGTGGTTAAGCCTCTATATCCGAAATGAACTTCTATGTCAATGTGTAGAAAAGTGTAGTTAAATTTTTTTTTTCATAAAAAAAATCGCTACTGAAATAGCATTATTTTTAAACCAAAGATAAAGCACCATTTTGTTATAAAATTTANCGAGTTTTTTTTAAGCAAAATAATTGCAGTAAAAATTATGAATTAAGAAAAAAATCATCAACTAGTGATTTTTAGAAAATGTTCGCTACGTGTGCTGCTACGTCGACTAACTGCGCTTTAAGAAGAATCTTTAAGGATGCATTTTATGAACAAAAGTTTTAGGGCAATGGTTTTTAAGAAGTGTATGATGAGGAAAAGAATTTCTGGAAAAGGTTTAAGAAGTAATTTTTTTTAATATACATATAAGAAAATGGTTAAAGAAAAAGTTCGTTCTAGGAAAAAAAAACTTAAACGAAAAATGTGTTTAGGAACAATTAAAAAATAAGTAGGAAAAAAGTTCTGAACAAAAATATGTAAGGAAAATGGTTTAAAAAAAAAGTTTTTTACGAAAACTTTGTTCTAGGAAAAATGTGTAAGAAGAAATTGTTTAGCGAAAAATATTTGTCAAGCTTTCTTAAGTTACTTAAGTATATTTTATGAGCACTTGAAATATTTGAGGAAAATTTTTTAATTATTAAAATTGTAATATGAGTATGAATAAGCAAAATTTGGAATATTTTTTTTTTAATTTGTCAATATTAAGTGAAAATTTTTTTCTTAAACTTTTTGGTAAACATTGTAAAATTTTTTTAGAACACTGATACTTTTTTATGTTGTTGTTAAGCCTCTATATCTGAACTTCTATGTCAATGTGTAGAAAAGTGTAGTTAAATTTTTTTTTTCATAAAAAAAAATCGCTACTGAAGTAGCATTATTTTTAAACCAAAGATAAAGCACCATTTTGTTATAAAATTTAATTAAAAGAAAAATATTTGTGTATGAGTTTTAACTCACCAATTTCAGCCAAACATTCGTAACGAGCAGTTGATTCTTTTCGTCCTAAAAATACAGAGAGAAATAAAGAAATTTTAATATAGTTTTTTTACATTAAAAAATATGCCTATAATAATATAATAATAATATGCCTAATAAATATCTGAAAACTGTTTAATACAAAATCTTATACATATATATTTCTCGTCGACTACACAACCAGTACTACACATCGAAAATAATCTACAAGAAACTTTTTTATATAAACTACACCCCTGGCCCCATTAATACACAGCACTATCCACCAACGCAACAAACGCTAGCCATTAAGCTTCGCATCCGGTCATTCACTGCCCTACTCTTGCCTGTCTCATACGCTCGATGCGACTCCACTTGACTCAACTACACTCGTTAACTGCTAATACTTCCTCGACGATAGTCAATCAAATGGAGACAGCAGCGCCACAGATTGCGATGCGCTTCATTAATCGAATTACAGAATTATCGGCGTCCACTGGCGCTTGAGCGACATTCGTGTGAAGAGTGGAAACATTCGAAAAAAAAAGTAATGAAGGGGAAGCAAAAGGAGTGTTTGCAGCTGGAAAGTGCAATGCCGGTGGGGCCTTTTTCCAAAAGTTTTTACGCGCACATTTCTACTCTTTCGTATCATTTTCGCAGGCAAAACTTCATTGCTAACCCAATTTCCGGCGAAGCCTATTTACACTGCTGCGTTACCAAACTTACAAACTTTCATGTGTTATTGTAAAAAAAAAGTG